AGCTTTGATAGGATCCTTAATATCCTCTTCAAGGCCACTTGGCTCGCCCAGAACGGTTTCTATCAACCACCCAAAATAATCCAGATTGTTAGAAACTTGCACATCAAGTCGGATCAATTGACTATGGATTAAAAGGTGAGAAATTATCTATCACTCCCAACCTCTGAAGACGCTTTAACCTCTTCAACATGGATGCCTCTTCTTGCGCGGGTAAAAGGGCAGTTTTTGAAGGCTGTGGTATAGAGAAGTTTGGCAGATTCTAGGAGCCACGAGAAGAGCCTATTATCCCAAAACTCGTGAAAGGCTAGAGTGTAGAGAAGAGTTGGTTCATAAGGGGGCACCCTTACACTCTTGCTTTTGGTCCTCCAGGCTGTCCTTATTGCCATAACCTCCATGGGAGTCATGTCCATATTCCTCCAAGAGCTCCCTTTATTCAAAAAACTATACCTCCATTTTGGGATCGCTTGGACCAACCCAAACTGCATACTGGCGAATTGAGGATTATATGCCTCCACCCCATACTGACACCTCTCGTCAGTATGAATCCCACCAAAGAAAAGACCCATGCTGGACAGGCAAGAAATGCCCTTGTTAGCATGGACAATGGCTCTTGTGGTGGATAGATCTTTCCAATGAGTAGGAGCTTGGTGGAAGCTTCTAACTGCGAACCAAGGATGGTTACAGGTTAGTGAGCGAAACCATATTCCCCTCTCTCTTTGCTTGCACTCTCTAAAAAAGACGAAGCACTCTTCAGTGCTGACAAATCTTTTAGAACTAATGCCAGAGCAGTAGCTGGGAAGGGCTAGATTGGACCACAGACATTGAGGTTTAGTGAATTGATGGTCATCTGGTGAAGACAGTGATAGAGATAGGCCAACATAAATGGCCCTGTAGCCACACCTACTTCATTGTGAAGGGCTTCGGCTAGATGCATGTACTCCGGCTTCACCCCACCTTCAGCTTTAGGAAAGATGAATTTATTTAGCCAAAAGAGCAAGAACATCATATGCTCTCTGTCAGCGATCCCTTGATATGTCATCACGTATCCAGAATAGGTTCGCAGGCGCACAATCTCTGTTTTGGTAGCCTTCATTAGAGTCTCGATCCTATGATTCTTCAACTCATAGTCCCCCAGAACATCCACGCTCATCCCACAAGGCCTGAAGTCGAAAAGGGCAGCCATGTCTAAGATGGTGGGGGTTATGGACCTGGCCCGAAGGCAAAGGTATTAGAAGTGCTATCCCAATAGCACAAAGCGACACTCAACAAAGGCGGATTCAATTCGATTTGATGCTTTGATAGCTTGATGGCATAGAATATCCCGTTCTACATCTATTTGCCTTGATATCCGGTTATTAGTTCATCCACCCAACTGTTCCAAGGGAGATAATCCTCATAAAAGGGCACCTTAGGGTTCGGACCCAGCCTCTCCAGGTTTGTTTCCTAGGAACCCCAGTATATATCCTCCAAACTATAGGGAAATGGGGCTTTATCCAAATGTGTATCCAAAGCCTGTAACTTTTCCGGCTTGGCTTCATGATAGTTTGGAACCAGAAAATGAGTCCTAAGAGGATCTCTCAAACTTAAAGGAAAGGGGAGTAAAGCCTTGTTGAGCTCCCTGCTTGTTCTTGTGCTAAAGTCGTCTGGAATTCCTTGGCATGTTTTGCAATGCCTTGCCCCGAAATCCAATCGGGAACATCAGCAGAAACCTTGGAAGCTTTTGATTTCTTCGGTGCCATTTTTTCATAAGATGTCAGAAAAAGCTTGAAAACAAAGTTGCTGGGAGATTAGGTTTTTTAGATGAAAGTTTCTCGACGGTTTTTTCAGAAAGAGAAGATGAAGTTCGAAAAAGAAGAAGTCATAGGGTTTTTTTTAGCAGGCCGAAATTAATGCTAGACGTGGATGTGATAGTTCCTTCTATTAGTTTGGCGCGTTACTTTCAAAAATATTCCTTTTGAGTATGATTTGACGCCTTAAGGACGTGAAGGGTTTAATTTCAATAAGCTTTACTTGAGCACATTGAAACTATGGGGCAATGTTTGTACCCTATTTGGAAAATGGGCCAAAGATGGTTTGTTTTCCAAATAAAATTACATTAGATCCAAGCCCAATTTCTTTCTTTCATAATACCAACGAAAAGGGTTTTTTTTGGATTTCGGCTGGTAATTAGTAAAACCCACTCAAAAGCCCATGTTGCGAAAAGACCCCAGTTTTAAGAGCAGTTCCAGCCATGAGCCTAGCCCAAGGCTGGGGGGAGAAAACCAAAAAAAGGAGTTTCCAGCGGTGAGCCTAGGCCCGGGCAAGGTGCGGGTCCCAGCAAGTCGGGCTGGCCCGAAGGCTAGTTCAGCCCGAGGTCCAAAACTCGGTTTGGGGTGACGTCGTGCTGACGTCAGGATGACATCAGCGAGCGCAGTCAAATTTTTTTAACGTTGGCGCGTGCATTGCACCAACGTTAAAAAAATTTGAATTCTCTTGTGCTGACGTCAGCCCTGCGCGATCACCAACGGCTAGAAGACAGGTGTCGTAACCTGGGCGCTCCGATCTGCTTCTCTCCTCCAATCCAATGGCTGGCGATTTTTTGGCAATAAAATTATGAAAAAAAATCAAAATTTTTTTAAAAAAATACTAAAAAATTCTTTTCTTTTTTTTTTCTATAAATACCTATTAATACCCTTCACTTTCAACACCAATCCTTATACATTTTATTCTACTTCTACTATTATTCACTCTTTATTCAACATTTTCCTCTCTTTCACCTTGTATTTTTTTTTTCTTATTTTTATGGCTTCTTCTATCGAAACCGGAGGGGCGTGGAGCACCATGGAAGATGTTTCCTTGTGTGAGGCTTGGCTCCAAGTTTGTCATTGTTCCGTGACAGGCAATGAGATGAAATTTTTTCATATGTGGAAAAAAATTCATGCCGAATTTTGTGAAAAAATTCTGGGGTCGACTCGTACGGAAATCGCATTATCTAGTAGGTGGAAAATTCTAAATGAAGAGTTGGGAAAATGGAGAGATGCGTTGTCAAAAGCGATGGAAAACTGTAGAAGCGGGGAAAATCGTACTAACGAGGTAAGGATTTTGTAATTGTCGTTTCATTAAGTTTAATGTCCTAATTTATATATTTTGTTAATATTTATCGCATTTTCAATATTTTGTTAATATTTCTTGCATTTTCAATATGTTGTTAATATTTCTCGCATTTTCAATATGTTGTTAATATTTCTCGCATTTTCAATATGTTGTTAATATTTCTCGCATTTTCAATATGTTGTTAATATTTCTCGCATTTTCAATATGTTGTTAATATTTCTTGCATTTCCAATTGTTTCTTAATATTTCTTGCACTTCCAATTTATTTGGAAGGTTAATTGCATTTCCATTTGTTTATTTTTTAGTTACTTGCATATCCAATATATTTTAAATATTTCTTGCATTTCCATTTTTTTTTTTGTTAAATAGATTATTCAAGCACAGATGTGGTTCGGTGCAACCGGGGGTGGCAAAAAAAGTTTCAACCATCATAAATGTTGGGATGTGGTGAAATATTGCAAACACTTCATAATTATTCCCACGGGTCCCGCCGTTGTGTTAAATGAGATGCCACTCCGTGATTCAATGACATCGGAGTCACCTCTCGATTCCCCTATGAGTGAAGACTCACCCATCGAAAAGGAGCCGAGGCCCATTGGCCGAAAGGCTGCGAAGGCAAAAAAAGCGGGTAATTCAAGTAATAGTAATTCAAAGTTTTTGGAGGAAATTGCAAGGCAAAATGCCATAAGAATTGAACTGGAGCAGAAACGCCAAGATAACGAGATGGCAATTCAAGCCGAGTTTTCACCAAAAACCATAATAAATAAAAAACCACAACCAAACCATAATAAATAAAAAACCACAACCAAACCATAATAAATAAAAAACCACAACCAAACCATAATAAATAAAAAACCACAACCAAACCATAATAAATAAAAAACCACAACCAAACCATAATAAATAAAAAACCACAACCAAACCATAATAAATAAAAAACCACAACCAAACCATAATAAATAAAAAACCACAACCAAACCATAATAAATAAAAAACCACAACCAAACCATAATAAATAAAAAACCACAACCAAACCATAATAAATAAAAAACCACAACCAAACCATAATAAATAAAAAACCACAACCAAACCATAATAAATAAAAAACCACAACCAAACCATAATAAATAAAAAACCACAACCAAACCATAATAAATAAAAAACCACAACCAAACCATAATAAATAAAAAACAACACAACCAAACCATAACTAAATAAAACATAACCAAAGCATCTATGCTCCATCATTCATCTTGATTGCCTATCACCGCCCATAGATGCGAAATCAAGTCACGTTGACGCCTTTCATGAACATACGAATTTGCATCTCTTGATATCGATCTATCATACGGGTCATGAAACGACCATCCCTAACCAACGGCTCCGGTTCAAACGGTTCTCCACTTGGCCCCATGGGCCTTTCATAAATTCGTGTCAAAGCTGTGTTCATGGGATCCGATTCGTAGACCTCTTCAGCTTCATAATCATACTCATCCTCCACAATCATATTATGGAGGATGATGCAAGTCATCATAATGCTTCTGAGGACCTCCTCATCAAACATACGGGCTGCACCTCGAATAATCAACCACCAAGCTTGAAGGATGCCAAAACACCTTTCGACATCTTTCCTGTATTTTTCTTGATAGGTAGCAAATAATTTTTCCTTCTGGGATCGGGGATTCGGAATGGATTTGACAAATGTGGTCCACCTCGAGTAGATGCCGTCAGCTAGATAATATCCCGTCTGGTAGACTGTATTGTTGACTTCATAGGTGATATTGGGGCCTTGGCCTCTCAAAACCTCGTTGAAGACCGGGGATTGACCCAGCACGTTGAGGTCATTTTAGGATCCAGGAACTCCAAAGAAGGCATGCCAAACACATGTGTCGAAGCCAGCAACGGCTTCAAGGATGATAGTCTCTAGTGTACAGAGTTTCAACCGCATCACAAAATCTTACCAAAGCCTCCAACGTAGTTGACTTCCCCATCCGGGCAACCTCATCCACCTGATCAGCAGATGCTCCATACGCCAACATTCGTATAACAGCAGTAAGCTTTTGCTTCGGAAGAAGTCCCAAAACCCCAGTAGCATCACACTTTTGAACAGAGTATGCATCATGATTGCAAATATCATGCATGATTTTATTGAACACATGGGGTTGCACTCTAAATCGCCTTCGAAAATCAACATTAGAGTATAAAGAAGTTGGGATAAAATAATCTTCCAAAAGATTCTTACCCCGAGAATGCCTATGTCTGTCCACATTCTTTCGGCGGCCAACTTGTGAACCATGGCGGCGACCTTGGTTCTCTTCATCTTGCAAAGCCACTGCTATGACAACTTGTTCATCAACTTGTCTCTGCAACTCATTGATTTCATCTGCTCTACAGTTTCTCTCATTTCTTTCTCGCTCTTGCCTCTCCAAGCTTCTCCTAAAATCTTCCATTAAGAATGAATTGAGTATGAATTCTAAACTTTGAGAAATGAAAATATAGAAAGATGTGGTGTGAGAGGTATGAGCTGAGCCTCTGGTTTTATAGAAAATTTTGGCAAGATAGAGATGCCACGTGGCTTGATTTGATTGGATGAAAATCTTATCTGAAATTTGAAATTCATCCGAAAATGGAACCCAAAAATCTTATCCCGAAATTTTATCCGATTATGAATAGTCATGACACGTAGGAACCCGGAAATCTTATCCGAAAATATTATCCAAATTAATTATTGAGGTAAAAAAATTTGTGAAAAAAACAAAAAAATGAATAGTAATTGCCCTTAGCCATGGCAATGGGTGGAAACACAAAATTTTCTATTTGCAAGGGCAACCACTATTCCCGTGAATAGTGGCTGCCCTAGCCCCCCCCCCCTTGCCATGGCAAGGGGCAAATGGGTGGAGTTGCTCTAACCCACACTAAAGTTAGAAAATGGGTACCGTTACCAGTTGACCCACGTGATGGTATGAATAACGGTTTTCGCCATTAAGAATGACTTGACCACTGTCTCTCTCAGCAAGAAAGCAGGCTGGATAATGGAAGCCAAAACCAAGAGGAACCGTCTTCTAACTGGTTTTCCAGCTGCGAAAGGATGAAAAATCAAAAGGACATCCCTTAAAAAAAGTATTTTCATTTGAGATATCATTTCTCCTACCCTTGGATCGACTCACGAGGACAGATCATCAGCTGACTTTGGGCAACACTCAAGTATCATCCTCCAGCTTCCACCATCATCATTAGGGATTTTTATCTATAAATATAGAGGCTCGACAGCAGCACAAGAGGACTCTCTCCCTAAAATCATACATAATGTCTTGTAAACACTTGAACAAACTTCAAGATTTTTCAAATAGCAAATTTGTTGTCTTATAGTTTACTTTCCCGCATTGTTATATTTGAACTTCTTGATATAACTGTTCATTGCTAGATTGACCCAAAATAACCGTTCTAGGTCCGAATAGGGCTTTATTGGCCCAAAAACAAGGGTTTATTTAGGCCCGAATCATACCATTGGGACCGAACTAACTGAATCCTAACCCAATCTAGGGGTATCTAGGGCCCGAATTAGGTTTCTGAACCCAATCAAGGGAGCATTGACCTCAACATTGGTTTTTTCTTGTTTCTAAAAGAATATTGAAGTCCTCTTAATTGGGGCATAGAAAATAACTCATCCGAGCCAATACCCCCATTGGAGTACAATGGCTTGATTAGAGGTCCAGAACAAGCGCAAGTTCATTAAACAAACACTCTACATTACATATACCAGTTCTATTGGGCTGGTCTCATCCCTAATAGTGGCATGCCTACGCAACTTGCTATTGGGTCAGAAGAAGCAAGCCATCAGGGCCCAGCCCGTGCTCGCCCGCTCTCCTCAACCTTACCCACCTTTCAATTTTGTCCTAAATTAAACAAGTCCTCTTGCGAGCCAGAAATCCAATCGGGGCATTGGTGTTGACCCGGCTTCTTCCTATTCCTTGTTCCATTCTTGAAATTGGTCGATCCGGGAAAGGAAGGAAAAAGGAACCAACAACAGTCTAATATAATAATCTTCCCCATCACAAATTCAAAACAAAATAAACATAAATCCACCGTCACCATAAAAGGGACGAGAACCGCACCATCATGGCCACAACGAAGGGGATACACACCCACCACACAAGTACACAAGTCAGCACTGCTTCACATAGAGACTCACTGATCTTCCGCCAATAAGAGAACTTCCCCAAAAAGCATAAACACTTCAACACTAAAACATTCCTCCATAGATCGTCTTCTCCATCACACCCAAATCCAACATTGCACCTAAGAGAAAACAACAACCAATCACAACACCAAGGTATATACCAAAATACGGACACCAAGAGACTGGAGAGCATTGGTGCAAGCACCAGAGCAAGAACCGTAGCAAAAGCTCTAAACACACTCCGATAATAGTGCTGCAAAGTGCTTATAGATATAGTTGCTGTATTCCAATTGAGAGTCCAGTTCCAAACAGAAGAGAAGGCAAAAATAGGAGATGTTGGGGTAGATTGGCGAAAAAAAGGGGGCACAACGGCATGAGACATTTAATCTCAACACAGAGCACAAGGCTCAAGCAATCACCACAGTAGGGAGAAGCACCCAACTCTTAGAGAGAGCCACGAGGACAACCAAACAGGCTCAAATTGAAAAAAAAAAAAAAAAACCAAACAAAACAAAAGCAAAAAACTGAAAAAACCGAGAATCACTCTGCAAAAACAGAGCAAAACCCCAAAGAGGTGGAAGAGACAGGAAATGGCAAGAAAAGGGGGAAGGAGGAGGATGAGGAAAGAATGAGAAAAAAAAACCTGAAAAACATGGAGGGAGAGAACAGAAAAAGAGAGAGTAAGGGGGAGAGGGAACCAGAAAAGGAAAGAAAAGAGGAAGAGGAGGAAGGGAAAAAGAAGAAAAAACCAGAAGAACGAAAAAAAACCAGATAAAGTGAAGATAAAGAGGGAGAGGGAAAGAGGGAGTGAAAGGAGGGGAGGGTAGGAGGGTCAGTGACCACTTCCCCCCTGCGGCACAAGAAGAGAAGGGGCCTAGGGTTGGGAGAAAAAATCACAGAGCAAGAGAACTGATGTTATCTTAGAGTATCTACAGAAGAGATGTTAGGAGGACTAATAATGCACAAATGGTTAGCTTGCTTTGGCCAAAAAAAAAACTGTTAGCTTGCGATCCAGAATAGGTGAAAGAAACAATTTTGCAAACACAAATTGCATTTGAAAAATTTACAGGAAATTATCATCTATTAAACACACTACTGAAAGGATGTTACGTCCTACTGCATGTACATATAATATGCTTGATAAAATTAAAGTACTATTCTTATGAAATTCCTTGCTTTAACTATTCCCACCGGCTGAGCTACAGAGTGAAGTAAATCTTCCATCACGTAGCTTCTTTCTTTCCTTGAACCCCTGAAACAAAATTCCAAATGTGATTCTTTAGTCGCTCCAAAGTCAAGACACATTAAGAATTTCAACTATCAGCTAAACAGATAACCTTTATCAACAAGGGACTTTACGCAGATGATTTTGTCATATCTAATTTCTTTTTCTCCGATAAGTATTTCCGACAGTTGCGGCTCCAATGTCCTAACTCGCCGCATTGGAAACAATTTCCTTTAGAAATGTCTCTGTAGCTGGCACCCATGCCGAATTGCCCAGGGTGTCCATTGTTTTCATATGGCAAAGAGGATGAACTTGACTGAGGATATCCAGAGGTGGGAGTTGGCAACGCATATGGCATAGCAGCTGCTACTGTTGTCAGCTTACATTTACTTTTAGGATGTTGTGGTTGAAACTTGGGAGCAAAAGCATCAAAACTACGTTTCTGCCCTTTTTTCTGCTGTTGTTCAACCTTGGAGGCAAGACAATGTTTGTAGTTCTCCTTTAGTTTTTGCAGCTTAGTTATTTTTACTTCAATGTCCCTGGATGGGTACTCAGACTCGAGGTTGTAGTCTTTGATACATTGAATCACAACTAATAGATCAACTATTTGATTGTCTGCAATCTTATCCTGTGATCAAAATTAATCAAGCCTTAAAAGAAAGATGTATAATTATATTGAGGAGTGCCCTAGCTAGATTTAACCATTTAAGAATCAGATATTGCATGTGCAAAGAAGAGCTAAGGTACCTTTTCATCAAGTGATTTCCTTTTCATGCACTTTTTCCAGGAATGCTTCTGTATATCATCCACGTATTCTTTTAAGAGTGGTACAGGGGGAAACTTGTCCATTAAATTGAAGGTGTAAATGCATCTAACAGCCTCAATCAGTTGCTTCCTCTCAACAAGATTTGCAATAACATCCGCTAAATGTAAAACAACATTGAAGGATTTTCATCAATCTAATTCAGATAAGCTTAACCACCCAAACTTTAAACAGAGTAATGTTACCAATGCATTAACTAACAACTGGGCATATAAAAGAACAAACCAGAACACAATAATTATGGAAGGAAAACACAGTGTACCAGTGAGGCAAAACATGAACCGGAACTTGAAACCTTCACTTCCAATATATAAAAGATCCCAACACAATTAATCTGCAAATACTTTCTTACTGAATTAACTTCATTGTACATTTTCCTAATAAGGTTTACTGACTTAAAGGTTTACTGACTTAACTTCATTGTACATTTTTGTAATACCTTATCCTGTATCAATAAAAGTTATCTTAGGTTTCTCAATCACCTTCAAGCCATTTGCTAATATTTGACCCATTAAATCTTGAAGGAATATAAAACCAAGCCAAGAATAACTATCATCCACCCCAAGGGGTACAAGAATCTTGGACACTCTTAGTTACTAACACCTATAGCCAAAATACTCTAAATAGCAGAAAGAAGTTAAATAGCATATTAAAAACAAATAAGAGCAATGGTAAGTGGTACACAAACCAATATCAAAGCTAATTTTCAGAAAATTACCAGTGATCTTATCTCCAAAACCAAATCCCCGATAATATTTGAGAAGCTGTTTATCCCGAGAAATCATCCCACGAAGCTTTACAAACCCATCCCCATTTAACGCAGAAGGCAATGCATCTGTAGCAATCTGCAAAGTTTCATTCTGTGTGAAATGACTCCCACTCAAATGCTCATTTGGAACCCCCTGCAAATTCCTAGTATTTGTGGTGGCAGTTAGTTGAAGATTTGGAGAAGAAAAGGTTGTTGCATTCTCGCCCAGTGAAGATTCTGGTTTCTCTGTTTTGATAGTGGAGCAACCGATGCCACTCGCTTTAAAATTGTAAAAGACAAGGAAAAGGTGATAGACAGGTTAGTGAGTGATTAATCCTCAATTTAATTTCTGACCATAAAAAAAAAATCCTCAATTTAACATATCACAAGATAGCATTACAGGGAACTTGTGCTTTGATTCAAGTGGTAAGGTGTGGGGTGAGGGTGCACATAGCTATTATATTCAAATCTTAC